TTTAAAGGAAAAAGTATTTTGAATCTACCAACCATTTTAAAATGAAATAACATAATTTTTATGTATGTTTTGAATTTCCTTAAATTGTGATTTTTTAAGTTAATCTAAAATATTAACTGTGTCAAAATATGAACGATTAAGATGCAGTTTAAATTTCAAAATTTCTCACAATTTTTAAGTAAGTATTTAAGAAAATGAAATGTTAAGCTTATATATGTGGTATGCAAAAGATTTTTGAACGACTAGTCTTAGGTTTAGTTCCTTTTTAGTTCTAGTATTTTGTTTAGTTCCTAATAAATAATACAGTATTGCTAAATTTAGTGCAAAAATTCAGCTACAGACCAGCCATTAATAAAAGAGAAAACATTCTCTCTCCTCATCTCTAGAACTGATTGGGAAAGAAGTGGGTGTAAACCCTTTTAAGGAATTTCTGTTCCTGTACTCCTGAATGCTGTTTTTTTCTTTATACTTAAGTGACCATATCAAACCTTGGAGGATCGGTTCCCATTACGTCTATGGAAGCTAGCCTTCTTCCCCTATGCATATCCTTTGACAGAACCCAGTTCCTCACTATGGCAGCTCAGAGCCTGAATTATTGTTCATTCGAGAATCAATCTTCAATTATATACCTCCGAGCCACATGGAATCAAGGGATAGAGAGCTCACTTCCCAATGATGTGACCCAGGTTCGAGTTCGATCGATGATTAATCGATTTAAATTTTGCTTTCTTATTGCCCCCAGTCACAGTACTGATGCAAAATATGACCCAGGTTCGAGTTGGATTGATGATTAATTGATTCAAATTTTGCTTTCTTATTGCCCCCAGTCGCAGTGCTGATGCAAAATATGACCCAGGTTCGAGTTTGATCGATGATTAATCGATTCAAATTTTGCTTTCTTCTTGCCCCCCGTCGCAGTGCTTATGCAAAATATGACCCAGGTTCGAGTTCGATCGATGATTAATCGATTCAAATTTTGCTTTCTTCTTGCTCCTAGTCGCAATGCTTATGCAAAATATGACCCAGGTTCGAGTTCGTTCGATGATTAATCGATACAAATTTTGCTTCCTTCTTGCCCCCAGTCGCAGTGCTTATGCAAAATATGACCCAGGTTCGAGTTCGATCGATGATTAATCGATTCAAATTTTGCTTTCTTCTTGCCCCCAGTCGCAGTGCTGATGCAAAATATTCAAATATCCTCGGTGGTATACTGATAATGGGTTAGACTCCCTTTGAGATCGGGTTTACCATGGGAGATTTTCGAGGTTTTCCTCACCATGCAACACAAAAGTGAATTAGCTGCACGAAAAAGTTCTTTTCGAAAGAAAGTTTATCTCAATTCTTGATCCATAAGTTCTCTTGTTTTTTGGGTTTGGTTCCTAATTACAAGTTTAGGCAGTTGAATATTGATAATGAGCAATGGATATAAAATAAAATGAATTTATAAATGCATGAACAATTCATTTATAAAACAATTATAAATAACAATTATAAAAAAAGCACAACATTAAAATTTAAAATATTCTAAATACGAAGATTACAACATCCACTATAAATATAAAATATTAAAAAAGTTCAATATTTTTCCCTCATTGTGTTCTTGAAAATAAAATTATTATTGACAAAATGCTACGGCGATAAACGCCTGAGCCACAATTTATATTTTGAAAAGCGATAATGTGTATTAGAAAAAATCTTATTTGAGTACAACTTTTGAAGGAACTATTGAGCGAGTTTTATTATATCAATCTCTAGAATCTATTCTTATTACATTTCGAAATGGATATTTTATACGAAATCCTTTTATATTTCATTGAATAACTTGAGGGTTGAAGGAGAATTTGACTTAGCAATCGAAATCGATTACATTTACCAAAAAGAGAGATTTCGGTCAGATCTAGATATCACATTCAGTGTTTAAAATGTTTTAAGAATTTGATACAAAAGTGATTTAAAACATATTTTAGCATGAAATTCATTCCAAGTTTTGATTGATGGCAAGCATTTATTTGATGTCGAAAAGAATAAACGTTTTAGGTATGGATTTTGTATATTGAATTTTATTTTGCAGAGCAACATTTTGAGAATGATTTTTAAATCTATAACTATTGAATTAAGACAAAAGAATTCCTTAAGTTTTATCCGTTTCAATTTTATAGGGTACTTGTCAAATATAAAAAAAAGGAATGATTTCAAAAAAGAAAAGAAAAAAAAAACTGAAAGAAAGGAACGATTCTAAAAATCTGTTCATCCAGTTTTAATTCATTTTTAACTATATTCATCCTGTGTATTTCAATAAATTAAGATTTATAAATTTTTTTGATATTTTAAACAAAAAAAGTTTATTTAAAATAAGTTTAATTAAAAAAATACTGCTTTACATTTCTCAGTCTTTTTTTCAAAACTAAATGCGCATTACTATTACTTCGTAACAACAAATTAGAAAGCCAAAGGGTAAGAAATATTTATTTTTCATGTTCTTAGAGTCAATCTTATTGGTTGGATTATCATTGATTTTAAAAACATAAATTTTTAGTAACACGTTTTAAGAGAAATGTTATAAATTAAAAAAAGTGCATGGAACTTTAAAAATATAGAATTGTCAACTTTAAAAATATAAATGTGGTGACGTAGATCACACGCGCTATCACGTAATGTTCTTCATTGAATTTTCTGCCAGAGTGAATACAAAATAATTAAACATTTAAATGCGTTCAATATACTATTTTGCGATCAAACAGAGCTATAAGCTAAAAATTATCACTGATGTTATCTTTAAAATATGTGATAACTAAATCGTCCATAGTTAAATTTAAAACAAGGGCTAACGTTTCACCAACCAGAAAATTCTATTTCGATTTTCACTCATTATGCTCGGCTGGTTCGTCGTAGAATGTTTTAATGTCGACAGTGACCTCGTGCATCAAACTATCTGTATGCCAATCCAATCTAAGTATGAAATTGATTTAAGCAAATTGTAAGATAAAAATTTTAGGATAAATCTTAAAAATAATAAGTCAAAATAGAAAAGTGCTAAAAGAGCTGAAACGAAATTTGTATTATGTAGACAATTTGAATAAAAAGTCAGAAACCAAAAATAAGCAAAACGGAATTTTAAAGAAATATGTATGTTAGCAAAAACAGCACTTCATAAGGGGACACACTGCCTGCTAGTCAGTGTGTTAGCAGACTGTATGATCCCTGATAAAGTACTGTTTTTACTAACATATACCCTTAAAATTTCGTTTAAATTATTTTTGGTTTCTAATTTTTCAATTAAATCTGTATGCCAAGTTTTATTCATTTCGGTTCGATGGTTTAGGAGTCTAGAAAAGACATACACAACCACCACACACAGACACACAGACACACACACACAGACACACACACAGACACACACAAAGACACACACACAGACACACACAGACACACACACAGACACACACACAGACACACACACAGACACNAAAAAAAAAAAAAAAAAAAAAAAAAAAAAAAAAAAAAAAAAAAAAAAAAAAAAAAAATAAAAAAAAAAAAAAAAAAAAAAAAAAGGGAAAAAAAAGAAAGAATGAAATATAAAAGAAAGAAAGGAGGGATTCTAAAAATCTGCTCATCCAGTTTTAAAACATTTTTACTTTTACTCACATTTAAGATTTATAAAATTTTTTGATATTTTAAACAAAAAAAAAAGATTATATAAAAAAAGTTTAATTACAAAAAATACTGCTTTACACTTTTAATTTTTTTTTTTAAAATCTGAACTGCGCATTACTATTACTTCTTAACAACAAATGACAAAGTCAAAAGGTAGGAAATATTTATTTTTCACTTACTTAGAGTCAATCTAACATTGGTTGGATTACCGTTGATTTTAAACATATAAATTTTTAGTAACACGTTTTAAAAGAAATGTTATAAACAAAAAAAAAAGTGTATGGTATCAGAGAACTTTAAAAATATAAATTTGGTGACGTAGACCACACGTGCTGTCACGCAATGTTTTTCATTGAATTATTCTGCCAGAGTGAATATAAAATAATTAAACATTTAAATGCGTTCAATCAATGCTATTTTGTGATCAAACAGAGCTATAAGCTAAAAATTATCACTCATGTTATCTTTGAAATATGTGAAAAATTAAATCGTCTATAGTTAAATTTAAAACAATGGCTAACGTTTAACCAACCAGAAAATTCTATTTCGATTTTCACTTATTATACTCGAACGGTTCGTCGGAGAATCTTCTAATGTCGACAGGGACCTCGTGCATCAAACTATCTGCATGCCAATCCCATCAAAGTATGAAATTGATTTAAACAAATTGTAAGATAAAAATTTTAGGATAGGACTTTGAAATAATAAGTCAAAATAGAAAAGTGCTGAAAGAGCTGAAACCAAATTTGTAGCATGTAAGCAATTTGAAATAAAAAGCTAGAAACCAAAAATAAGCAAAACGGAATTTTAAAGATATGTATGTTAGCAAAAACAGCACTTCATAAGGGGACACTCTGTCTGTTAGTCAGTGTGTTAGCAGACTGTATAATCCCTGATGAAGTACTATTTTTGCTAGCATATATCCTTAAAATTTCGTTTCGATTATTTTTAGTTATATATATTATATATATATATAAGTTCTTTTCGTTCCGGTTTTTCGTTATTTTCATTTTTATTATTATTTTTCTTTTTTTCCCCTTTTTTCATTGTTCTGTAATTTTTCCCTTGTTTTCTCTACATTTTGAACTTATTTTATGAGTTCTATTTACATGCAGCTTATACGCAATAAATAAAACTTATTGTTTTTCGTAATTTTCTTCGTATTTTTTTGTTTTTACTTATTATAATATATATATAATATTCAAAAATATTTTTATGAAAAAATGTGTGGAAAATTTTATTTTTGTACAATCCCTCTTTTCGACTGCCTTCCGAAAGATTGAGAAAAAGTCATAAGGAAAGAAAGGCACTTAATTGAGTTCGACAGTTCTGTGATATGTCCTTACCTCTAACTACAGGTGACAATTGGGCGCCTGCACAGGTATCAGTTGTCGTGAGTCTTTCTCGTCATTTGAATGGACCTCCCTGCTTTTACGATCCACTTCCAGTGCTTATTCTATCTTTTATCGGCACTTTAAATGCGGGCAGGCTTTTTATTTGATATCGAAACACCCATAATCTTGACATCTCTTATCTTTAGAGGAAAAGTTTCGTCATAACATACGACAGAAATTTAAATAATTATTGATGAAGTTTATACAATGTATCGTGACACATTTAATTATAATTGTTAACGAAGATAAAATAACTCATTAAAATATGTCAGAATATTCTGCGTATGCCAATCTAATCTGAAGATTAATTTTCGTACAGGTTTTTAATGCAGTATGTGAAATGATATATGTACTAATTAGAAGAATATTCATCAAATCTTATGTAAAAGTGAAGAGAAATAAAACGTAACAATGGTTATAGGGCAAAACTACGAAATTTTGTTTGCTGGCCAGTGGCCAGTTGAAGCATTTTAACAGTGGTCTCTTATTAAAACATGTGGTTTTTTTCTCAAAAATTGAAAATTTTAAGCGGTTAAAAAAAGTTGATATTATTAATATAAAATATGGTGAACATTACTAAGTTTAGTTCTAAAATGAAAAAAAAAAAAAGAAAAAAAAAACAAGGAAACATGCATTAGATAAAGTAATATTCAGAATAGTATAAAACATTTATTAGAATTCATATTTATAAAAAATAACAATAATAAATTGAGCATGGAATGCATTTTTCACGAATAAGTGGCGATCGGGTGATGACTGGCGGGAAATTTTTGCATCACTATTTGTTATATTTCGTTAATTTTCTCGCACGGGACGCAAAGTTCAAGTGGTGTTAGTTAAGCCTAAAATAAATGTTGAAATATAAAATTTTTAAAGTGATTCAAAATATTTTCGACCATTTTTCAATTTATTGATAAAGATATTGAGGGGGAGGAACCCTCTCATATTAAGTTGAGGACAACTATGACAAAATCAAACAACATTTATTACCAACCGAAACATAACAACAATATAAAAACAGAAAAGAAAAAGTTAAGTGTGAGTGTGCACAGAGCGATGTGATGTGATGTGAATAGGTGGAATCTCGTCTTTTGGCGCGAAGCGCCACTTACCGATTCAACGAAATTGATTTGGCATAAAATTGGGTAGGCATATGTTAAATAAACAATTTAGATAAAGGGTAAAAGTAGGAGAAATCTCCATTCTCAAGTACTAAGATATTAAATGAGTTATGCACATAATGACGAGCACTAAGTATAAAGTGCACAGAGCAAAGTTCGAAGCTTCTTAAATACTGAAGAAAGGTACAAGGTTGCCGATCCTGTGTACGTCATCCAGCTGATTCCTTTAGCGACTACGCACCATGTCTGGCGCCACAATATTAAATAAACATTTCATAGGTTAGGATAATCTTTACAAAACTGGATTTATAATTGAGGTAATTTATATACTCTTTGATTTACGCAATACATAGTTTCAAGTTGAGTTGTAATTTTCTAAAACTCTTGCCAGGAAAGAAATTTTTTTTCTGCAGATAAAATAGTATTTTCCTATTACATTGCATAGATTCCTCACTGAACGAATGTCTAGTTTAATGCATGAACATATAATAATGTTACCTCGCAATTTATTTAAACAATAAGATTAATCATTGTTCAGATTCGTTATTTAAGAAGTGGTTCTGAAAGATCTGTAAGTTCTTTTCCAAGCTCAGTTGCTGTTCAGCTACCATCGGAAAACAGGATGAATCTTATTCATCTGCAGACTCAGACTTCGTGCAATCTCCAGTATGCAATGAGGAAAACATGTCCACCAGATCAGATTGCTGATTAAGGTGAATATTCAGCAGTAATTTATTGATCATCAGTAATTTATCGAGAAGAAAATTTAAAATTTACAATCAAAAAAGGAAGTATCAATCACATTGTCAATACCAGGAATTAGATACATTTCTGTTACTGAAAAATGAAATAGGGTTTACATTTGATTTGCTTTCTAATCCATTATTCATAGATCATCAAATAAAAATATGTTAAGCACGTCCTCCCCTATGTTATTGAAGAACGGTATTATTAATAGGTAGTTTCAGGTACAATACATCAAAGTAACGCTGGAGTCTTTACCGTCATCAAGTATTGACACATATGTTGACCACTCCCAATTTAGTAACGCCATCTAGCTTGAATGAAATAATTTGTTCTTTATATTTCATGTGCACGGCAATGAACGGGCCATTTTTTTTAAAGAACATTGTCGGCTATATTTTTGCTTTATTCGACATTTGTTGACAGCTACCATTGGCGGTTAATGCTTACTTGTATTACTAAAGCGAACGAAGGAAGTTGGTCAAGTTGGTGTAATTGCTTTATCATATCGCCAAAACGTGTTATATGAAACCACCATTTCAAATCAAAGGGCTATCAATTTTGGAATTTTTTATGTCTGAGTTGAGTTATATTATTTTTGAAGTGGGTTTGGCGGCTACTTTTCATAACCTATGATTGATTTACGAATAGGCTGGACAGATTATTTTTTGTGTAAGAATCGTAATCGATTTTTTGAAAACCCTTTATTCTATTTTTTGAGATTGGATATATTCTCGATAGAATTAGGCAATATTTCATTGGTGTCGATGGACGTTAAGATTTATTTTGTGACGGAAGGCTTGTTATCTTTAAGGCCACCAAATAAAGGGTAGTGGTCAGAAATAGAGTTAATTTTTCTCTTTTTTTTTGGAAAAAAAAGTAAGAGCCACTTAATTACTTTTCGAGGCAGGTGAACAATATTCTTTCTTCATTTTCTATAACTTATTTAAAATCTAACTTTAGATTCTGAATTGTGTTTACAGGAGTTTATTTTAAACATTAACACTAAGCCGCGACGGCTCTGGGGATAGAGCGTTCACCTTCCAATGAGGTGAATCGGGTTCGAATCCCAGCGATGGACAGTCGATACGATTCCGCATTCGGCTTGCACCGACCACATTGCTGAAGTGAAACATTCTCAGTGGTAGACGGATCGTGGGTTAGAGTACATTCGCCGTCCTGCTAACCATGGCAGGTTCTCGTGATCTTTCTCTCCACGTAACGCCAATGTGGGTTAGTTCCATCAAAAAGTCCTCCACGAAGGCGATTTTCTCCCAATGATCCAGGAGTTCCCTTGTCTTCTGGATTGGGTTCAAAATTACAAGGCTAAGTATTTGAACATTAATAGTCGTAAACCCAAAAATTGGGTCGGCTGTTCAACGACGGTTAAAAAATAAAATTAAAAACCCTAACACTATTTGAAAGCAAACATTTTTGTGAGACAAAGCTAGGTACTTAGAAAAATTTAAATATTTTAGAACTAAAATTTGAAGAAAAAAGAGTTACAATGACGTCTTGCTAGCGCGATCAAAGTTATAAAAATGTTAAAGAATTGAAATAGCTATTAATATGCTGCCCAACGCACTTTTTTTTTAAAAAAATACCATATTTGCTCAATAATTTTGAAAAAAAAAAATTTATATTATTTTTTTTTAAATTAACCTAATATTTTTTTCCTTCTATAGAGGAAATATTTTGGTCCTGCTAAAAATATAAAATATCTCCCAATATTCAAGTGCTTGTATGAATTTAAGCAACACGCTATACTCAAACTAATTACCAAGTTCAAACTCAATTTGCGCGCAAGATGGAAAAATTTGATTTGAGAAAAACAGATTTAACGACAAGCATTGATTAACGCCTGAATTTTTTTTCATGCTGTAATGGGAAAGAAAAGTTTCTATTAAGAGAGCGGTTATTTGTTTTTAGCTAAATGAATAATTTCTTCTTTTAGTTACTAATTGCTTTTTGATTAAAATAATAAAAAATAAACATTTGCTTTATGTGAAAACCAGATTAGGCAAATTTTCGTAAATATATGTTACATTTATGTCAAGCTAGGTCAATATAGATTTTAAGTAACTTGATACAGTATACTTGATTTTCCAGACAATTGCTATTTAGAAAAAGTAGTTAGTTATTTGATTTTCAGTGAGTGGGCTTAACTATTGCAGCTTTGGATGTTTTTTTTAGTAACATTTCATACTTGCTGTCAAATTATTCAGAATAAGGCAGTTTATAAATTTTTTTTTATCAAGCAGTTGAAAATTTTGTTGCAAAAAACCTTTAAGATCCTTTAATGTATTTAAATATTCTTTCAAATGTATAATGATGACAACAATGGTAGTAATAATGTTTATTCTGAGAAAAAAATATTAATTCAAGCCAAATTCAGTGAAATACTCATGCCATTTCCAGATTTTTTTGCCCATGACAGTGAGTGCAAAATTAAATATGATGATAGAAAACGAAAGTTCACAAAAAAATACAATTAAAATTATTAACTATATGCAAATATAAAATATAAAGATGAAAATCAGAATTAACAGGTTTCGCACAATTTGTAGACATTTATTATAACGTACTTTCCTTTAAAGATTAATTAGTACACAATTGAATTTAATCAAAAAGAAAGTCAAACATTTTATGGTTTTAATTTGGTGACAAGTTAAAACATTAATAATAACAATTATTCATTTCTTTTAAAAGTAATTAAAAAAAGTACTAATTGAAAAGATGCTTTTGCTATTTAACCATGACAAATTTTTTTTCTTCTTTCCATTAAAGTTTTTTAAAGCATTTCTGAAGAGTCCTAGTTATTTAATTGCATAAAATGAAATGTCTTAAGTTGCATTCCTCAAGCTTCAATTAATCCTTAAACATTAATTAATTTTATAAAATAATATTTAATTACCATTAAATTTAAATTACACCAACTCCGAGCTCAGTTTTACGCTGCGACCGCTAAGTTTTAATTTTTTCTATAGCTCCTTTTTTTCATAAGCTCTTTTTTTTGGTCGTTTTTTATACGTTTCTTCAGTTTCATTTAACTGCCTCTTCCTCAAAATGCGGTAGTGAAGCAATAAAAAAAAAATTTTTTTTTTTGTATACTTTACTACCATATATATTCGAAACATAAATGTTTTGAATATTCAAAATTTAGTTTTGATAAATTTAGGAATTTTCCTTATTCCATTATTTGAATAATATTGAATAACTAGCTGAATAATACAGCTTAATTTTACCACTTTACTTATGGTCTACGTGTAACTA